AAGTATTGTACAGTCCAACATTAAGATGTAAAACAACATTTTCAAAAAGAAATGAGTGTCTCCAATGCAGTATGCACCCTTTCATGAGCTACCAAAAGTAAATTACTGCACAGGCACTACATGTAAATTCAATCGCTACCATATACATGTACATAGATTCAAAGGTATTGACTGAGAAAACAGTACGATGCAACTAAAGTACCACTAAAAAGGAAGTTACCACCTCTTGTCTTGTTACTGACGAGACGCATCTCGTTTCTCATGAGACGAATCTTGTTTCTCTCAAGAATCACTGAAGCATTTAGTATGGAATATACATGTGTTACTCACAAGAAGCTGGCGTGCACATCAAAGACAACTGGACTACTATGCTACATGTAGGTACAGTATCAACAAAAAGTTTGACCGAATGTGAGATACTAAACGTACAGTGTAATGATCCATCGCTCTATCCATGTCGAACAAACATCTTGAACGTTTGCAAAGTAATGATACAATTTCGGCAAGTAAAATTGCATTGTAGGGGAATGTGATATTTTCAAACAAGTCACAAAGGAATGAACTAGAGGTTACAAATGAAAGAAAGTAGAGCAGAGACATCCCGAAAGTGAAAGACATCTCTGTGAACTACAAATGTAAATAACTAACTTCTGTGACAATTTCATGCAAGTTCTTAACACACTGCAAACATGCAGATACATACCGCCTTCACAGATGGCATCTCTATAAGTTCTCCAAAAACGTACACTCCCGGTGCCTCTAATGTCTGGTTTATGAGGGCCACTAACCCAGCTCCCCTTGCAGACTTGGCCAACAAAACATATTGTTCTAGGTTATGACTGTAACTGGAAGTCTTCACTTCTTTTTCTGCCATGATACCTTTGGACAGTTGCTGATGCTTCTGTGGGCACATTATAAATAAAAATGTTTGTCAAGGATTATTAAAATAAGGGAATTTTTTTCCAAATGGTAGTGTGGCAAGGTTCAGCTCTTCAGAAAAGACATGAAGATTATCACTTAATAATTATTACAGAGGAAGGTTGTTAATAACTGATTTAAACTAATGGTGTTGTGGCCGACAAATATAATTTATTAAATTCTAATTAAGCTTGATCAAAGCCTGGTACAATACAAGGTATAAGTTTATAGCAATACATTTAAACCTCGGTTTTTGGCTCAGAAGAAGATGCTTACCTTTTTACGAGACAGACACAGATATCTCGAAATGCAAGACCGGGGAGTTGAAATTTCCGGCTATAAGCTAAAGGTTAACAGCACACGTTGTCAGTCAAACTCGGTTATCTTCTAGTTCTAAGACAAAATAAAATGAAAAACGATTAAATTTCAACGCTATACTGTTCATTTCACCTTATCAAAACAGTTTCCTAAAACAAATTTAGCTAGATGATTTTCAATTTCTGATGATCACTTGCAGATCATTCTTCTAGATTCTCAGAACAAATGAAACACGATTTGTGCTACAATCGAAAAACAAATCAACATGACAGCATGTTGACCTTATGTCTTGAAGAAAGAGCAATATAATTCTTAAGTCAACCTATACGCTACCTTGATATGTTCATCAAAGTAAATTTGAAGTAAAATTACACCTTCACGTAATCCAACATGGCTGACTTCTTCTCGGCACCAGATTCCTCGCTGACTTTTTATGACTGCGCATAAATCTTTATTTCCTCTTTACGAATACCTTGAGGAAGCATTCTTTTTTCACGCTATTTGGCTATTTAATAAATTTAACTGACCCCAGTCAAGAAGCGTAAATTCATCTCGATCAAAAAAATACCCAAAAACGCATAAATCGTTTAAAACTTATCAAAATATCGCCTTTTTGTTTCCTTGGTCAGCTGTAATCTCACATCAGCGCAGGAGCGCAGGAACTCAACAAGAACGAACCAACAAGAACGTTTCTCGCGTACTTATTTTGTCGCTTCTGTTTGGCGTTTCATCGCGTTTGTATGGCATCCCATAAGCGCGTACATACAACAGCAGCTTCGAGATTGCGACAAGATTATTTACGAATCGTAAAAGATCCTGTTCCTTATATAACAGCGCTTCCATTACCGTCGAATATACTAGAATGGTTTGTACGATTTGTTTTCCAACCTTGGGCTATTTTCGTTATCAGTCAATTTTCGTTATCAGTCAACTCATTCACAATGTTATTTTTTTGCTGTTTCCTAATCGTCTGCTGTTTTATTGCTGTCCTTTTGCAGGCATTATGTCGTTCGAGGTCCAGAAAATACACCTTACGCAGGTACAAACACTCCGAATGAAAAATGTTTTCAACAATTGATTTAAATGTCATAAGACTAATAAAAATAGATCGTGTAATCTTCACTGTGGGAATATGGAACTTTTCCGGAATATTCAGTTCTCAAGTCCTTTAGTTTTTAATAACAAATTGATTGTGCATGTACTGTAATGAAGACATCTGCTTGTCTTCTCTGTTCCATGTTGATATGCTTAAAGCCGGCTGTCGGCTTTTTAACACTTACCGACTCCTGAGATAAACAGTTTATTTTGTTTCCTGAAAATTGAGAACATTTGGATTTGAGGGAATCAAAATGAACTAGTTTCCTGAGGGACCAGTCAGTAAGTGGTTTGTCATATAGCACAACATAGAAATTGCATGTAAAAGAATTCATGTACAATGGCGGTTGGCAGTCAAAATTATTTTGCGAGTAACAGTGCACAGTTACCCTCTGACATCACAGATTTGCAATCTTGCCTTCTCAAAGACTTTTGGTAGGAAACAGTTTTAATGAATTTATTGTTAGATGTGACGTTAAAGTAGCTAATGAGATCGTGCTCAGTTGGGGGGAAAAAAATCCAGCTATATTATACAGGGGTTTCATTAATAGCCATGCACTGGGCAAAATTAGTTGTCCGGCTGCAAGAACAATTTTACCTGCCTGGTTTGACCATCTAGCAGAACGTTTTTTGTGTAAAGAAGTTTAGTTCAAATAGTTTTGCAGGGCATTTTTGACCAGAAGGAAAATGATCCATAACAAAATCAGAAACTTTTCCTTTCATATGCAAAACAGATGGGGAAAGAAAAGTAAAGAAAGGGTGCATGTACATTGTAACTGTTAACTGCATGAAGGAAGTAGGAAGTGAAATGAGATTGGCCAGCAAGTAAAGGTGCTTGAAAACATGGAAGGTTTTCCAGGTCTTCTGTTGACCATTCTGGTTCTCTCTTGAACTAAAATCCACAACTCTTTTTACCGCACTGAGTAGAGAACTTTTTAGAAAAGGATAACATACAACCTGTACTTGTAACATATTTGGTGACATCTACATGTACATGTATGTGGCCTTTTTCTTACATGGTCTCCTCATCACATGAATGTGCCTTGAGAAACATGTTACTGCCAGGTACATGTGTAACCAGGCTCTGCAGTCAAGTAATTATGAAGCATCTGCTTTGTTTGAATTATTCCTGTAGGAGGATATTATCATGGCAAACTAGTTTTTCCCAAGGATTTTCCTTTTAAACCACCAAGAATATTTATGATCACACCCAATGGACGGTTTAAAGTCAACACTAGGTAAGTAGGACTGCATTATTTTTTTTTATTATTATTATTTTTTATATTTGAATGCACTTAATTGAGTGGTCTGGCACTCAACCATGTTTCTATACATGTACATGATGGAACTTAAAATGAGTTTCATTTTTACTTTTCCTGGATGGATTTCTTGTTGTTTCCAGATACACATGTAACCCCCAGTGCTTTCGACTTTCTCTGGACTATCATGCCAATCAGACATGATGTTCTTTGCTGGCCAGGATTCCACCAGAACTTGTTCACAGTGGAATTCCATTACTCCACCACCTTTGGGCTATTACAAAATTGTGGTCACATTAAGTGGTAGTCATATTAAAGGGATTCTTAAAATGCAATGGAAGAACAAGACTGACTAAGCATTTCCTTTGGGCCATTCAAGAGTGCCTGTAAATAATACATGTAACTACAGTGTAAAGGTAGCTGTATCAGTGGGGAAGTTGTTTGATGAAGAGTAGTCATTAAGTTTGAATGTAGACTTTCATTTAAGTGTTGCAATGTAGTCAGGCCTTCTGTTATTACTCCATGGTGTGATTTTGCACAATTGACTTCAAATGCATTCCATTGCACAATTCATGGAAAATTGCATAATTCATGAAAAATCACACAATTTTAACTAAACAATTCATCTGGAAAAATGCCGCATCTACTTGTCATTTCAAGATGATTTGCAATCTTTTCAATTTGTCTTAGGAGCGGCCCAAAAGTGTGTGTGTGTTTTTTTTTTTTTCCTAATGAAACCTTGTAAAATACCAGTATGCAATAGCTCAGGAGAAAATGGCTTGGTTTGCATAATAGTCCGCTTTTATCACTTAATCTGCCTTGAAAACTTTGCATAATTTCTGGTGTTTTTAATGGCACCCTACACGTGTATTAGAAGGCCTGTTTAATTACATGTACTTTTGTCTTTTTGATGTAAATGGCCTAATTGGTACTGTACCTTCATTGGTTTGTAGGTTGTGTTTGTCAATAAGTGACTTTCATCCTGACACCTGGAATCCAGCATGGTCAGTCTCGACTATTCTTACAGGCCTATTGAGTTTCATGGTATGTTGATCATTAATCCTATTTTGCAGTTATTGGAAGTTGCATTCGCTAGGGTGATGTAACAAATACTGACCGTTGCTTTTTTGGAGCTTTGTGTAACAAATAATGTCTGTATCTGTCTGTCTGTCTGTTTATCTGTTTGTCTGTGTACAGTTGTCTGCCTGCTTGTGCATGTACGTGTATCTGTGTCCTGTCTGTCTGTTTGTCTGTCTGTCTGTCTGTCTACAGCTTTTGTACAACTGTGTTTGTCTCCCTTTGTCTCCCTTTGCTGTATCTGTCTGCCTATTCATCTCTGTCCATCTGTTTGTCTGTCTGTCTGTCTGTCTCTGTCCATCTGTTTCTCTGTCTGCCTCTCTGTCTGTCAGCAGTTTTGTGTCTGTTTACCTGTCTGTACATGTACATGTCTGTCTGTTTGTTTACCTGCTTGTCTGTCTGTCTGTCTTGCCACTGCTGAAGCATTTGACTTGTGACATCACTGTTTCATTTCATTAACTCTTAAATATTGTGTATATAATTTCACTTTGTCAGGTGGAAACATCTCCAACCCTTGGCAGCATAGACACGTCAGAATTTCAGGTAATGTGACTGTCCACTGATTATTGTTAATGTTGTTGTCAAGTCCTCTGTTCACAATGTACCTTTGTTTGGTTTGACTTGGATGAAAGTGGTTTGTATACCCAAAAGAAAACCTACAGCATTCATTTAAATTACACTGTACAAAGTCATGTACCTCAGTGAGAGGTTTTGTATTAGTTTTTTGTCTCCTTGCTCATTTCACTACCAAATGCGAAATTTTCAGTCAATACAGAGATGCCAGTTACTACACGTATGTACAACATGTGTATACATGTATCTGAACATGTAGTGTTGGTCTGTAGTCTCATACTGTGTGGTTATATTCCTACATCAATTTATATAGTTTTGCATTTGCATCATGTGAACTCAGTCTGGTAAAAAGCTCTCTTTGGAGTGCATTGCAGGATATTCAATGTAAACAATACACCAATAAATGTAAACAAGCAAGCAAGCAGACCTCAACATGATATTGTTTTGTTTTGTTTTTTTTTTTTACATGTACCAATTACACTCCAGAAACGACAGCTGGCACTAAGAAGTGGACCATTCAACTTAAAAGATAAGATTTTCTGTGAGCTTTTCCCCGATATTGTAGAGGTGAGTTCAACCATTGAAGGACCCTAGTCTGCCATTTTTGCCTCTGCCATTTTTGATGCCATCAAACTTATTGAATTGCACGGTGAAGCGAAATCTTATTGCTTTACAGTAAGTTGTGTTCCTGAAAGTATGTTTAATATTCTTTAGTGATTTCTTTCGTTTTCACATGCTCTGAATAAAATATAATATTATTAGCCAAACTCTCACATGTAAACAAAAACAACGGTGTGGCTGAGTAGGGCCCTTTAAGTTTTCCAACTCTCTTGCCATAAATTGTGGTTTTGGTTTATTTTTTTGTTGCTGTTGTTGTCTATTCTGTCTGACATGTGTTTGTGCAACTTGGCAGGAAATCCATGAGAAAATGAGAGAAAGAGGAGAGATCAGGGAAGGCGAAGGAACCACAACACAAAACAACATCAACAGTCAGGGTGGGGTGGCTGGTGCAACAAGAGATGGAAACAATGGCCTTATCAGTAGTACCCTGGTGAACATTTGTGTTATCATTGGCTTTGCTGCCTTTGCATACACAGTCAAGTGTGTATTAAAAGCCGTCGACAATAGCTAAGACATTAAAAATCGTGGGCTGAATGAAAGATTCATTCATAGGGTAAGAATGACAAATCCAAGCCTTGGGGCAAGTCATTTGCAAAGAAACTTATTATTTTCTGAAGGGAAAAAAAAACTATGCTAACTGCCAAAGCAAGTGCTTGTTATATACATGTTCTAGCTAGAAAAATGTGTAAACCTAAACTAATGTTTTTGTTGTTGTTGTTGTTGTTGTTAATTTTAAAGGTGCGTTGTTTGTGTGTACACGTGTTTATAACTGCTAAAAATTGTATGTGTGATTGCAGGCCTGGAGTAGTTTTGTCAATCAATTTACTGAACAAACAGAAATCTTTGTGAACTAAAAATTCTATCTTCCTCACAAAATATTTAAGCCATCTATTGCAAACTTGGAAATGCAAGATTTCCGCATCTAATTCTTTGTCACCATTTTGTTACTTTCTAATGGCTCCCGTCATACAGGTACATAAATATGTCATGCACTTATCTACACAGTTGAACCATTTTTGTTAGGTTTCCATTGATCTGGGAGGTGCGGTGGCCTCATGGTTAGTGCGTTCGTTCCCGGAGCGAGCGGTCCGGGTTCGAGCCCTGGCCGGAGACACTGTGTTGTGTTCTTGGGCAAGATATTAACTCTCACAGTGCCTCTCTCCACCCAGGAGTATAAATGGGTACCGGCAAATTGTTGGGGAAACCTAACAAATTGCGGGGGAGTGACCTGCGATGGACTAGCATCCCGTCCAGGGGGAGTAGAAATACTTCTAGCCGCTTCATGCTACAGAAACCGGGATAAGCTCCAGTAGCTATGAGCCATTCGGCTCCAAGGCTTCACTTACCTTCTTACATTGATCTAGCTGTATTTACAGGAGGGATTTCAATAATGGGTTCAGCAGGTGGACTACTAGTTTTTACACAGGCGGGCAAAGCTTTTTGAAACGAACTTCTTTATAAGAAAAACTTTCTCCTACCCTGTAGATGGTCAAACCAGGCAGGCAAAATCATCCTCTTAGCTGGTCAATTTCCGTGGTGCTTGGCCCTTGATGAAACTCCTGACTTACATGTATAGAAATCCTTGGCTATGTTTTTTTAAAAGCTCAGTTGAATTCTCTAATGTTGGTTAAACAGTAAGACTGCATAGTAGTCTAGTTTTTAATTCAGACAGCTTTGTTTTCAGGGGATAAAGTTAATTTTTACACAGGTTAATGTTAAGTGAGCTCACTTACCTGCACTCATGTTATACTGTAACATTTTTTGAAGTGTGTTGTTTACGTTCTCTCACCACTATTGTTTGACTTTAAAAAACAAAAGTTTACCTAGAAATATAAGATCAGGCAACTTAGATATTGCCAACATTTAATAAACCCTGCACCTTTTTCAAAAAGGCAGTGGGGCAATTAGAAATACAATGAAGATGAAGGGCTTCAATTTGGAGTACGGATTTCGAAAACAGACCAATTATTATTAAAGTTAAAATTCCTTGTACAGTATAGTTGTTTACAAATTAATGACATTTGCATTGATCAGGGACGGACCATTATTGTTTTCAGGGAGTGGGGGTTGGCCGTTTTTCTGGGGCACGAAATTTTTTGTTACCTTCAGATTGTGTGCAATAGCTTTTGCAAGATTTGTTTGTTTGTTTGTTTGTTTGTGTGTTTAATTCAAAGACTGGAGGTGAATAGTAGAAAGCCCTTGCTCAATTCCTTTTTTCCCATTGCCCCCCTTGTGCGATATTTTTTAGCAGTTTTTGCTGTGCAGGATTGTTATTATTATTATTCTTTTTTTGGTGAAATTGCTCTGCCATCCCCCATCCCACCTCCCCCCGCCTCCCAACCTAGCAAAAAATTAAGGGTCCGGTCCTTTAGTTGATAGCCTTGTTGAGTGAAATGTCACGCAACACATCTGGGCAAGAAGTGGGTAAAGTGATTGTGTGACATTGTGCGCAACGGTTTTGGTCGGGTTTGGGGGAGTTTAGTTAAAGTAGTTTACCCTAACAGGATGCGCAAAACTCATTACGTTGGAGCGCACTTAAGCCTTTCCACAACAGTAACGTTTGTCGCAACTTTCGGCCGGTTTTCCAAACCTTTCAGCCAATCAATTAGCCAAAAGCTGCACGTGCACATGCACGTGGTCCGCACATGCACGTGGTCGGCACGTGGCTTCTCTGATTTCTACATCTCATCTCTTTGATTAGCCAAGCATAGAGTGGAAGCAATCTAAATAGGTGACAAATGAGCGGTACTAGTGTTTTTCAACGTAATGCTCTGAAAGATTTATCTAACTTAATATGAAGTAATGTGTACATACTGTATTGTCGATCTGAATAAAATTGAATCACAGGAAGACAGTTGATATGTTACAGTAGTGCTAATTGCTAGCGAAAGACAAATCAAAAAACATTGTATCTTATATGATGGGACTTTGGATGTCTGATGTTTGATGCATTGGTTTCTGTTTGTATTTTATCTTCCACCGCTCGACTCGGATGCGAGTGCTTTAACCGTGAGACCACCGCACCTCCACAAACTTCGGAGGACAACCGATGAAAACAATTCAAATTTTGTTCAAACGAGATTCCTAGTTGGCCGAGAAATGGTTTAAATATCGTTCGCGGTTTTTCATTGCCAGTCGAGAATTTTTATCGGCCGAGAATGCATTGATGCTATAAAATGAAACTTAACTATTTTATCTTCCTTATCATTGAAAATGTTTTGTCTGTGCTCTCAGGTTTCTCGCTTGATTTTTGATTGGTCAGGAGATGACCTCGAGAAACTCCTGCTCTGTCCACTTACGTTGGGTTCGAAACTGCACGAAAAATTTGTCACATGGAAAGCGAAACGATGGCAAAAATAATAACTGTTAGTTAAATACCTTTCACCCGTCCCATAAATCCAAATGTGAAGTTAAAAGTCACGATCACGGAGCAACAGAAAATTCCGGTTGTTCCCAAAGAGCAGTCTCCTCCGGATCCGCAGCCGTTTCTCGGGATGTCACGCAATGTACCCCTCATAGCGGTTCCTGACGCACTCGTCACGCTACGGAGATTGCGTGACAGACTGAATCTCGAGCAAGACTGGCGGGCTCTTATACTGGACCGTCACACTTTAGTGAATCACCTTGGCAACTCCGTTATTAACTGCCGGCGACCAACTCAACATGCCGCCGGTTTTTGCCATGATATATAATTTTCTTAGCATGGGAAATGTTCTTCTTCTATTGCTTTTGTTGCTGATGTTACATTACTTGATGGTGATGTACGAGTTCAGGAACATGCCGCCTGGTCCGCGTTTAACCACTCTCCCCGTTTTAGGGAACTTGTTTTCCCTCGACGCCAAGGCGGAGAAACTCACAGACGCTTTTCAAAGGTAAGTACAGTGCGGAGCGCAATTTGAATTGAATGTTGCCGATCATTGAATCAATCTTCGTTATATCGGGAGGAATTCTTTGAAGGCAACAATATACTTTCTATTTTAAAATATAAAAACAAATAAATACATAAATACATAAATACCGTAAATATCTGTCCTGTACCGCTTATTAGGAGAGCATTATGTAATCAGAATCAGTCAGCCGAATCTAACATAGATGGATTGCGCACTTCACTTGTAGAACTTGTATAACCGGTGATATTTGTTGTTAGGTAGTTAATGATACTGCCATTAGAGGTAAATCACCTGTATTGGTCATTTAGCCTCGCGATCAGAGTTAAAGGAACAGCTTATTAAGGTGATAGTGTAAGGAAGAGACACATGTTTAGCGGCAGGTGGTTGAGTTGCCTTTACTCTGGGGAGTAACAACTCAAACAACGGCTAGAAATTTTATAGAGCTATGGGAGAAAGCGACAAACATTTTGGGTGAGCTTTGCAGACCAAAGACCGACAATAAGAAATGCCTTTTTGTGTGTTTCTACCGTTGGTGTGATTCAAAGGTTGACGCGAAGCGACTTCCACTCAGTCGAGTTCTGGAGAACTGATTAAACTGAAGAACACTGTGCAATAGAAAAGCAAATTGAGTGCCGTCAAAAAAAAGAAAAGAAAAAAGAAAAACAAGATCGTATTTTTACTTTGCCTATTTTTTAGCTTAGGTTTAAATATGGCTACATCTGAATGTACAGTTGTGCTCGCTTCGGAAATAACGCAATTTCACAGCGAGATATTCGGAGCATTTTTGTTATTTCTGTGGTTTTGCGAGTGCCGATTAATTTGTGTTAATTCGGTGCCGGCATTTGAATTGATGTTGTATAATCTGAATTGACATCTAATTAGTTTATATTTAGATTAGATGTCTTTTTCTGATAGAAATCAAATGGCTGTTTAACCTGAAGATCGGGTTTGTGTCAGTTGAGCTGGAACCAGCCTAACTGTGTGCTGGCAAATATGGACGGAAATACATTTTATTTTGGCATATGGAATCCTGGAAGCATAACCACTAAAAAGTTAGGGATTACATTAATTTGTTAACCCATTGTGAACATTAACCTTGTTGCCAAAACAGTCGCTTATTAAGGACAATGCTCTTAGTCTCTGAATAGCTCGCACAGGAAGCATTGGCGCCTTTTTATCGACAATCGCAAAATATGGCATTGACAATCCCGGCTTTATAACAATTCACGGAAAGGGATTAAATATACTCCGCTCTGGGTTCACAAACTAAGCTGTGAAATCCCGTCAACTTCTTCTCCCACGCAGAATCTATAAACTGCAAACTTTGTTCCGTCTATTTTTATCATTCATAAATATAAAGTCTGACTTTGCATTTTTAAGAGCGTTCTGATTGGCTGTTGTCCCAACCTTTGTTCTCTTTTTCTGTGATGCGCAACGCATGACCGACACCGGAAACCGCGCAAGAAAAACCTCTGGTACCCAGGGTAGTTGACTGTAAGCGCTCACGCTCAAATTCCCGGACAGCGTCCTCACAGTACGCCGGAGAAGTTTGAAAACGCAGCTTTAGTTCTACGGTTAGGCCTTCCGTCCACACTAATCCGTCACTGTCCGTCCGTCGAAAACGCTCTTCAAACCGAAGCGAGGATTTGACAACACCGGCTTTTTGTTTTCGTGTGGACGGAAAACAATTTGAAAACGGAGCTTTTCGAAAACGATGGCGCCACAATAATCATGTGATCGGTGATTGTTGCGTTTTTAAATTCCTCCAGCGTAGTTTGGACGGAAAACATTTGATGCGTTTTCAGAGTAAAAACGCCGTTTTCAAACTCCTTCGGCGTAGTGTGGACAGGGCCTAGACACCAGGCAGCCTAGGCTGAGTGAGGCTCATGAGCCACACTTAATTATACATTAAAGATAAGAAACAAGTTCAGTGCTTATAATCAAGTAATTCTTGTTTAGATGAGTGTGTGGAGAAGTTTTCGGCTTCAACGTCTCCGTCGTGGTTTTTCCAATAGCTCCGTAAAGTACAGTAATACATGAATTGCCCCATCAGTTTACTACCCGGGGCACTCGAAGGATATGTTCCTTTGAAAATTTCATCATGATACCGCCCCAGCGTAAGTGGTGCGGATGGGAAACCCAGGGGCACCCATCCGAAATAAAAAGATACAAAAAGATTCAAATAGAAATTTGACAGCGGCTAAAAATTGCTTGAAAATGTTTGTTTGTTATTGACAAAACTTCGTGGCCATTTGGGTCCCTAAGAATCTGTAGAATCCCAGGAGAACCGACGGTGACAAATTAAACGAAGAGATAAACAGGTTACAAATGTGTGAATAACAAGGCGATCCCCTAACACTGTTAATAAAAGACGGCCATGTTCTAGGGTTGAATGGATGCTTGTTTTAACTTTGCAGTCTTAGCGAAACCTACGGCCGTGTTTTCTCACTGAAACTTGGAAGTTACAAGTTCGTAATGGCGTCAACTCCCGAGGCTGTGAAGGAAATGCTGGTACAGAAATCTGTCGAGTACGCTGGAAGACCGCAGACTTACTCTGTTAAGAGACGTACCCTAGGTATGCTATTGGCGTATTTTAACATCTTTAGAACTGAAAGACGTTGCTACTTGTGTAGTAAGTGAGTAGTTAGTATTTAGAATTTTGATTTTTAGTACGTAGGCTTTTTAATAAAGTAAAGTCCAAACAGCCCATGCGCCACAGCCTGAACAAGTCTTAACAGATTGCCCGATCACTTTTCTTTTGCCTGGCCCCTGGAGCTTTAAAGCATTAGAGTAATGAACTCCACATTTCATGGCTTTTCCTAAAATTAATCTGAAAACAATATTTGGTTTTCGGGTATGCCATTGGTCAAGAATGTTGATGTTCCCATGTAAACCGCATTTTGACCGGCATGTTTTTAAAAATTAATTTTTGAATTTCTTGCCGCGTGGAACTTTCTCTCTCTCTAAGATACAGTTTTAGCTTCATTATCAGCTTTAACTATTTCAAATCTCCCCTGGTCTCAGAAGGTCAAATCGAAACCCGGTCTGAAAAGGGTTGAAATAGTTGCAACGAGGTTTCAAAAAGGGTCCTTCCTTTGTACTTTTGGGAGAAAATCTTGGCCATTATAGCGTTCGAATACTACGACGAAAATAAACATCGATCACTTTTTTTAGCCAATAGGGTGTAAGATAAACGCTTCTTTTACTCAGCCTTGGTTTCTGACAGAGTTATGTTTGATTTTAGGAGGTAAAGATATTGCGTTCGGTAACTATGGGCCCGCCTGGAAGTTTCATCGCAAACTCTTCACTACAGCCTTGCGTCAGTACCTCTCGAATATTCCTCTGATTGAAAGCCGAGTTTCAGCCCAGGCAGAGAAAATGGTCCAGTTCATGGAAGAACAAGGTGGAAAACCTTTTGATCCCGCAGATTGCTTGATGCGTGGTGTTGCTGATGTTATTTGCGGAATCACATTTGGGGAAGGCTATGACACCACTCACCCAGATTTGACCAAACTTTTGAAACTTTGCGCTCATGTTGTGGAGAATGACGATGTAGCCCGTTTAGTTACCATGTTGGATTTCTTTCCCTTTACACAGTACCTTCCAATCAAGGCTTATGATCGATTTATCCAGCCTTTCTTTAGCATGTTCGACATAATTGGTAAATTCTTGAAAGATCGAGAAGACAACTTTGACCCAACACAACCCGCTCAAGATTTCATTTCGAGCCTTCTTTGTGCCAGGAATGAAGCCCGGTTCAATAGTGACGAAGAAAGATGCGCTTTTCTGTCTAATGACTACTTTCTTAACGACATCGAAGTCATGTTTGCTGCCGGTTACGAAACCACAAGCACCACATTGAAATGGGTCATCGCCTACCTTGTTAACTATCCAAAGTACCAAGAGGACATTCAACGACAGTTAGATGAAGTAGTTGGCAACCGAAGCCCTTCCTTAGACGATCGCCCTCATCTTCCTCTTATCCAGGCAACGATAATAGAAACACTGCGGGTCGGAAACGTGGGACCCCTTTTATTGCCTCATGTCACGATCACTGACACCACGCTCTGCGGATACCGTATCCCCAAAGATACCATTGTCTTTGCTAACACGGAAGCGGTACATCTAAATCCCAAATGCTGGGAAAATCCTAAGGAGTTCAACCCATACCGTCATATTGACCCTGAAGGCAAGGTGGTCACCAACCAAGGAAACTTCTATCCTTTTGGAGCAGGACGACGAGTCTGTGCTGGCGAAGCCTTGGCCAAAGTTAAGCTGTTCTTGTTTGTATCATCGTTGTTTCACAAGTTTACGTTTGTCCCTGCAGAAGACGGTTGTCCTCCTAGTTTGAAAGGAGTTTTCAGTATCACTCAGTTTCCTGCTCCTTACAAGATACGCGCGATCAAACGAAAATGAAATAACATTGGCAATCGGTAATATTATCCACTTTTAAAATATTTGACTACCGCGTAGGTTATCAGATTGCCTAAGTCAGTGTGGTAAATCAGAGAGCCCGCACATGGAAACAGGGTTAGTGGTATTGCAAAGAAAAAGTCAGGGAATTGATGATGACGATGACGACGTCGACGACGGTCATATCTAACGCGCGTTCGTGAAGTAATTTTTAATTCTATAATAAGTCAAATTGTTCGCGCACTTTGATTGGTTCTTTCTTATGATCTATTGGAGGTCAAACGAAGAGATGACGTCATTAACATTCTTTTTTGTTTCTTTACTATATAAAGCAAGTAGATTCCATGTTTCTGTGCGTCTGTGGAGTAATAGATCACAGAAGACCTCAGAATGGGGGTAAGGACATCAGGGACACTCGCTTTCGGCTCGAGTGGCACGTTTTTGTTCTCGTCCCATTTTGACATCGTCTGTGATCTATTACTGAACAGACGCGCGGTAACAAGGAAATTATTTGTTAAACTGAATTGACATAACGCACTCTGCATGCTGCTTTTAATGAAAAAAGTCGCCACGTCCTGTATTATTGACTATAGATGTACTAAACATTTCGAAGAGGGGTTTGTAGTCGTTGAAATCTTCTCCAGATGTAAGAATAAGCTGCACCGCTACAAGTATTTTTATCTCAAGAGCAAAAGCGGGGGACTGGGTCGGAAATTTCCAGGCATCCTCCTCCTCATTATAATCAACTACACACAGACTTTCATTAAGAAGACTCAAAAAATGTCTGTCGTTGAAAACTCAATAAATAACTCAAACAGGAATCCACCTCTTTTTTTAACAGGGTACGGCATTCACCACTTGCAAATCGGTTTTAGGTTTATTTGCTCACGAGGAACTAAATTGTGAAATTTAGTTCTTCCAGCGTATTCTTCCTCAAGAACAAACACCCCAAAATAGAAGCAAAGGTCGCGCTTGCCCATTTGTCACTGATAAAATCGTCACAATAGTACAACGTAATCCTCGTTTTGTTTTACAAGATATTAAGATTTTCTCTTTGTCCTGTGGTGTCACATGCCGATGACGTCATGAAATCCGCCTTTCTTGGATCTGCTGTCTTGGATTTGACTATTTTCCCAAGAACCTTACAAACGGGGGGCGCTTTTGAAATCTCAATCGACTAATCAGCATTTAGCAAGCGGGAAAATCTATGCAGTCCTGGCGGCATATCTATGTTCACATGCAAGTTTTGAGGTCTGGTCAATTTACTCCCTGGAGACCACATCGAAAATTCCCAATAAGGGATTTAAAATGCCGAAAACCCTACCAGATGGTAAAGGCAAATGGAAAATTTGGAGCATTTGTGACTGTAAGATTTAAATGAAGGGCCAAAACTGTATTGATTTTTCCTTTTCATACTACTCTCTTGCCAGATGTCGTCAGGTAGGATTATAGTTTTGTAATTCCTAACAAACCATATTGTTTTTCATAAAAGTAAACCCAGAACTTGCCGGTGATAGAAGTGACCACAACAACTGTAGAATGGTACTGTGTGCGCAGCCACCGTATGCAAGGACAGTCAGCAAATAAGATGAAATGATAGAATATTAGCTAATATTAATCCAAATGGAATGTTTAAAAGCACTTAATTTAGCCTCGCAGGGAGGGTTGTCATGGCAATGCTAAATAACGCCGCAGAGAAACAGTTGATACATCTAAGACATCTAAATTTCGGCTGAGCAGGAGTCTGACAATAAATGAACAGCTACTGAGGGGCAGTATCACAGAATAATTATAAATCCTCTTCTAAAATTCTGAAAATACCCTTTGCACGCTGCAGACTTAGCTAGTTTCTATCGACAAACAAATTAAACGCACAAGGAAGATCATGTTATTTCTTTGTTATTGTTTCTGAATTTATTGAACAGCAACCAAATTAAAACCCGCGGAGCTTCTGGAGCCCCAGGAAAGTGGTATGACTAGTCAGAGCTTACATTTGTTTATTCTGATGCCAGAATATGACAGAGCTATAGGTGGGTCTAGATGACGGCTTCACTCCTGGGCGAAAAATTTTGTGTTTTTCCAGTTCGAATTCAATGGGTGCAGTGTCGCTATTAAAATTCTGAGTTTCTCTAGTTAAAATGTAAGTTTCTCCTGGATTCCGCTGTAATGAGCCTGAATATGCAGCCATCTGCCATTAGCAACCGGCATTACACGAGTGTTGCTGTCGAGGGACAGAGATGATACTTCATAGATGTTCATATTTTATTTGCTTTTCATCCTGACTTAATAATAATAATAATACGATTCGAATTCGAATAATTCGAATTCGTTTGATTTCACTTTCTCAGTGCATGCGTTAGCTATATAAATCGTGTTCCAAGCAAAGGTTACAATGCAAGTCCAAGAATCGAGTCCAAATATTACTATGTGGACTCAAATCATACATCAGTTCTAACTACATCAGTCCTAATTCAAATTCGTTTCATTTCACTTTCTCAATGCCTGCTTTGGCTATATAAATCGTGTCCCAAGCAAAGGTTACATTGCAAGGCAAAGTATACCAATTTCATTTATTGGTCGTAAACTCTAACAAAAATCCCCTGTCGGTGGTGCAAAGTAGCCTATAGTACGCAATATCGACAATATTACTATGTGGACTCAAATAATAGATGTTCTAACTACAACATACATCAATCCTAAAGAACATACATGAATCCTAAATACACATGTATAGTCATGTAGAAAACGCCAGGTTCGCACTGAACTTCATTGTCGCTTGATAGCACGTATCTTGTAAGAAGAAGGAAACTGGACGAAGGCGCCCTTTGCNTATTTTAAGGTTTTCATCTAAGCTTTTTACCCTACGTTAGTGTTAAGGTGTGTATCCAAATGGCCTAGGCAAATATCAACTTAATATATCATGGTCGCATCAGGTAAGCTTGAATTGCTAACGTATATATCATTGCACTTACTCAGGGAAAATATATTTTCTGTTTCACTACCAGCCTACTGTATATACGCTTCAGGAGACGTAGATTTCAACTATTTAGAAAATATTTCATAGCATACACTTTATCTCGCTATGTTATCGCAGAGTAAAAAAAATTCATTCGAGAACACAACTGTCTCATTTAGTATGTTGTTTCTAGAATTTGTTTGCTTTTCCGTTGTTGTTGTTTTGTCTTTTGCTCTTGTCTTTTGTTTGTTTGTTTGTTTGTTTGTTTGCCTGCATTGGCCACTTCTTGGACTTAGCAACCAAACTTTCTTTGAACTTTCGGGGAACTGAATGTCACTTTATAAGATGACCTGTTTTCTTTGCCCGTCATTACTTCTTTGTTCTAATTTCCTTTCATTTAGTCGTAATCTACGTCCCCTTAGTCACGCTGCTGAATGGAATCAATTCAGGGAAATAAAGGGTAGATTGAGGGTTTAAGACTCGGCCAAATGATCGCAAGATTTTGAATACAACATATCGCAACGTTGTTGGGCGCAACATGTTACGCGCGTTGGGCCACCCTGTTGCGACGTGTTGTTTCACGTTGGGTATTGAAAATCGAACTAGTGCGCATGTCCGGGCGCAACATTGTTGCACGGCGGCCTGGCCAAACGACTACAACATCATGCAACATCCACAAATGTTACATGACAGATTTGACCATTTTCAAAATTGAGCCAACAACACCCAACATGTCGCAACACGTCGCAACAATGTTGCGATATGTTGTGTTGAAATGTTGCGATCGTTTGGCCGGGGCTTGAAAATAATCGTTTTGTAGCACCAAATTATCTTAGTTAGTTTGTCCTATGGGAAGAAGTTAGTGCCAAAAATGTACTTCATTCTTAAGAGGAAGTCTTATTTCCCCATTACGAATGGCATATATTACCTTTCCGAGAAAAACAGGAATATGCATAGGGATATGGGTTTCATTTGAGAGTGTATACGAATATGTGTGATATTTACACGTAATTTTGATAATTAAAGAATTATTTTTATTCCCTCGTTTGAAATCTANTTCAGTTCGAAGTAGTACACTTAAAATAAAAGCTCTATACATATTAATCAAATGACAGCGAACGGCCGGATACTCTGCTTCTCCTCAGTCGGCCATCTTGACTGCGCCTGAGAGGAAACCTGGGGTGAATATTGGACTTAGACTCCACTCGGCTGCGAATGGGAGCTCGAGGAAAGGGAAGAAAATGTGCTGGCATGGACTTTTGGCACAAAGGCTTTTGCTTATTATAGGAGCTGGCAAATAACACTTAAACGGATGTCTGAACAGGTTTCTGTCCGATTGTTTCCCTGATGGCCTGTAGATGTTGTAATGTGACTTACATACAGGACCGCTGGGCTCAAGGATGATGTGCACAACTCATGTATCGGTTCGGAAAAGGTAAAAATTAAGAGGTCAGTATACAATGCTATAGAGGCAGAGTGAGCAATTGGCTTACCTTGATGCTTGTTAGGTTGGGCTACAAAAAGAAATAAGTTACCAGTGCACATAAAAAGTGGAACAAAGATTTATTTTTTATAACGTGATTAGATATTCCAGCATATGGTCAGTGTAAAATAAAGAATGCAACTGCAGATTACGGGCTGCAGACTGGAGACAGCGGGAAAAATGCAGACCAAAAGTAAAATGCAGACTGCAAACTACATACTTTTCAAGTATATAATCCATTATCCCGTGCTAACCATAAAAAGGGTTTTTCAGGCTAATCAAAGGCTAATCTTTGTGAAAGTCTGCAATCTGGTTAGCTTCAACGATATTAAACGGTCGAGTTAGCCTGTTTATGGTCAGCTCTAAATGATGGAAATGATGACACGATTCAGTAAAAAGTGTAGTCTGTAGTCTGCATTATACCCTTGCGTAAATTTTGGATAGGAGTTTGGACAAGGGTCTTAAACCCCGACTCTATTTAAAGATGAAGCAAATGATTTATTGATATCCAATTTAAGGCACAAACACGAAAGGCCACACCATATTCCAGAGAAAAACATAAACAAAGAATAGCGAGAGCGGTTCACCTTTATTCCGTTTCTGTAACGTATTTGGAAGTTTGCGAATAGTTCAGTTTTACAGATCATTTGGTTTTCGTTTAGCTGACCATTTACACACTGCAATTTTAGCTGATACAATTTAGGTACCCTATCTATGGACCACACCAGGAACACAAAGCCAACAGGGGTAAAAATGATACCCTATTTAAGGATCAAGAACATCAAAAACCCTTCCCTATCCTGTGGCACAAACTTATATAGCCCATGTATGGGAGTTCCTCCCGCCCCCCAACAGGTTTTACCCCTGGCCTGCAGAACGCAGTCTATGTTTTACACTGATCTCTCCGGCGTATGCTCCTTATTGCATACGGTTGTGTGTGTATTTTTCTCCACGGATGAAAGCTAGTAAGGTTGTAGCAATTGATTAATTAATATAATATCAGTTCTTTATGAAATGTGAGTACCGTATTTACTCGATTAAACGCTCCGTTTATTAAATATTTCGTGATTTGAGGGCGGCGTTTATACGAGGGGGTGTTTATTTAAAATCCAATTTATTTCTTGCCAACAATAGTATGGTAAGTACCCTGGGTGCCAGAGGTTTCTCTTGCGCGGTTTCCGGTGTCGGTCATGTCCCTATTGTGACCCGCGCGAAAACCCTCTGGAGCAGAGCGCGATTTCTTTGACAGCGCCGAGCCAATGACAAGCCACTTAAAATCTGTCTAGTCAAGAATCTGGACTAGAAAGCTGATTGGCTCCTAACGCCCTCCCAAGGGTTTTCTAATCACGGTGATCGGTTTCTAATAATAGAGAATGTGAGCCCGTAATGTGTCGTTGAGTGACGTGATGATCGTGGCTGGCGGATTTTGAGGTTGAGGTTTGTTCGCGCGTTGTAAGGTTTGTGAAGGATCAAGATCTAGTCAAAGCCTTAACAAAAGTTCCTCAAAACGTTCGACGGTGTTGACAACTTTTAAAGCGCCGAGAAAGGGATGGAATCGCGAATTTTTTCGCAGCAAGAATGTTTTGACGGTTTTGCCAACGGGATTCGGGAAATCGTTGTTATTTCAATTAATTCCTGGACTCTGTGTTGAACTACACAATGCTCCCGACGCCGGTGTACCAGACGAGCTGGAACAGCATTTAGAATACCTATTTTTACCGTTTGTAGCTTCTCCTTTCCAACAGACAAGATTCTTTTTGTAATATTCTCAGTTTAAATTTGCGACTTCTTTGACAGTCGCTTCGAATTTTTGGATCTGTCGGTAGCACGTCTTACAAAGAATACGCGGCCCGACGGACAGATTGTTACCCAGGGTGAGTCGTCCTCGGCAGTGAAAAAGGTCGAGATTCTTTCAAAGAGTTTCAGTTGTTTAACATTTTCAGGTACAAGGCTGTAATATCCACCATTACACACAACGTTAGCGTCAAATAAACGGCACGACAGTGAAGACTTCGAATTAGGAACTTTTTTCACGGGAGTATAACGGTCATAACGTAGTTTTTAGTCCCGCAGACCAGATCTGTCATGTCACGCGAATGTGTTGTCCCCACGTGCCAGTTCATGTGATCACAGTGGGAGATGCTCGCTGTGATTAGTTTAAATGTTATCCAATAAAATTGATCAAAGTTCGACGAGAACGGTGAATAATACCGTTCTTACTTACTTCTGTACCAGAGGTTTTTCTCGCGGCTTCGCTGCTTGTGCCGGCGGCCTTCGGCCGCCGAAGCGAAGCGAAGTATTTCCGTCCGCCGCGCGCGAGAAAAAACTTCGGCAAGATTTCCGTATAACCCCATACACTTTAATTATGCAAACAGCTCTTTGTTTAACTAAACAATAGCGGAAACAATAGCGCTCCTTTGAGACTTATCCGCTTTGAATAACTATAAAATTTAACATTTTCGCATTCTTTTAGACTTAGAAAAAAAGCATGCAGAATGTGAAAAAATACATTAACATGAGGAACAAAAAAGGACACAAAGAAATCACGAAATAGCCGCAACAATTGTTATCAATGAAAGCAAATTTCCAAAGCTTGTTTTAAAGCTGAACTACCGTATATTGCTCTCGTTTTTTGATCATATTCCTTTTAGCTTCGAATGTACTGAAATTAAAACATTGTTACAATCAAGGAAAATAAATTTTTTAGGCTTCCTCAAACTTCATTACCGCATTTGCTTTTTGAGTTTATTATTCGAATAAACGCCGCATCATGATGGGGCGTTTATTCAAGGGCGGCGTTTATTACTATTTCTCCGCTAAAATACAGCGTTTATTTGAGGGCGGCGTTTAATCGAGTAAAATTAATGCGGCATATGTCATTAGGTTGGGGCTTACATCGATAAACGGTACAGATCAAACATCCAGATGCATATACAGATCCATAATCACTTATGACCCATTTGCTGTTGTGTGTATCTAATAAAAATATGAGACAAACTACCTCTTTGTTCAAGAAAAATAGCCGGGAGAAATAGATAGTCGTCTTGACGGATTAATCCATCTTTTGCTCGTCTTTACACATCACCATCCGGACACGTATTCCTCAGACTAGGTCACCTGCATTCATACCCTTACTACAACCTTATTACTTTTCCCGGGTACTTTTACTATCATTCATATATCATTCCAGAGCAAGACAGTGAAACTAAAATTAGCCTCTCCCTTTCAAAAATAAATAAACGCCTGATCACAGGTTCAAAGGAAAAAAAAAGTCTGATCACAAGTTACAGACTAGGAGAAGCTGTTTTTCCTCATGTCCCTACATGACCAGAGTCACATGGAGACCACGATATGGAGGGGACATTGCTGCATTCCCCTGCTTATGATTCTAGACCGAATCTAAATAAATGAAACACTCCTTGAGAAGAAAAGATTTTTAATAACCTTCAAAAAATGATGTAAAATCTGACAAAAAACGTCTGAAGTCTTGTAATTAATACAAAGTCTGTCAGTCAGCAGCACGTCTCAAGTGGGCTCAGTTGCAAAGTCAATTTTAGCTTACAAGTGCAGCATTTCAGAAGAGGAAAAACCTCCTGCAGTGCAGTTCACTACTATTAAACTTGCCTACCTAATTAAAGCTACATTTCAATTAACAACAGTTGTCACCATCAAATTTGTTTTAGTCAGCCATAATTTCCATTTCCTATAGCAAAACTAATTCTTAATTAGTTTCCCAAATTTCAGCTGCATTTCTCTCCCCCTTTAGTTTAAGAAACTAAATGTTTTAATAATAAGTCTTCCCAATTACAGTAGTATCATCATCGTTATCATTTTCCTGTCACCATTGCTATCAAACTTTAGGTTCTAAACCCCCATTAAATCTTTAAAAAGTGCATGTTTCATACACTGACTTTGAACTATCACAGCTTGAATCGTGTTACACCCGAATTTACCTAATGTAATTGTAAACTAAAATACTGCTCTGCAAAGTTGCCTCAATTGAACTTCATGACTGGCTTAGGAAGACTCCTCTGGTGTTGGCACTACAGCCACAGGTTTGTGAGAATGATGCAGGACATAGTCACTAACACTGCCTAGTACAGTGCGACGAAGGCTACTCAATCCTCTTGTGCCTATCACTATGATATCAGCATGCTCCTTTTCGGCACAACTGACGATTCCCTCTCCTGGCTTGCTGCAACACTCTTCCAGAAACTTGTACTTGATCTGTCACAAGGAAGAAATGGCTCATTTATAGTTGCCAACCCAATAGTGACTGTTATCACAAAAATACATGCTAATCTATGCCTTGAGGACTGTCATTTTGCAGCAATGATAGCCCATCCCAGTCCAGAACTATTTGTATGGGTAATCAAATGGTGACGAGTAAAATTAGGAAATAATTTCACACGTGTTTTGTTGAAATTCTTATAATTCTCCTTGTCTTTAGGTGAGGGAAATCATAAAAATTTTGACAAAATTGAAATTATTTCCTAATTTCATAAGTATATCATTTGATTACCTTTTAATACAGTGGGTGACAAATAACACTTACAATCATGGGCTTTTGACTTGTGCACCAAACCTTGCCAAGGCAATTTTGTAATTTCACATATGAAATTATAAATTAACGCTGAAATTTCATGCCAAAATTAAGGAGTAATTTGTCAGCCATGATATTCTAGACATTATCAGTATTACCTTCTACAAAAATCAATGCATACTGTACTTCATACTCATACACACCTTTTGTCCCTGGCATACTGAAGTAAAGTCATTTTGAATTTTCTCCACTCGTTCCCGGGTTTCTCTCATAATTTTCTCCCATTCTTCTGTAGGAGGCTGGAAAGGGGCTGCAAAAAAATAAAATGAATTTTAAAAACCATAAAGAAATATATACAATAATTCACTTAACTCAAATTAACTTGTGCTGGCTCTCTAACAATGAAACAATTAAAATCAATTTACTGTGCATTTCATAGTTGAGAATCTGAGCTACATGTAGCAGAAGGACAACCAGTTGGCTGTTTCCAAAGCATAAGCCACGAGTTCAACACTCTGGACTTCATAGGAAATTCCAGCTAGTAGCAGGGTTTCAGCAGTGATTCGATCACCTGCAGTAATGCATAGACCTTAGTTATTACTGTTTTGTGTGAAGTCAGTGGGACTAATTACAGACTGAAATACAGTTTCATATTTGTACTGTAAATGTTGTTTACTTTCCATTACTTTTTTCAGAGGTAGTGAAACTAGAATAAATTTCTGTTTACTAAAGGTGTTTAAGAGTTAGAGAGAGCTTTTCAAATCAGTTGTAAAGAGAAAGCAGAAATTCTTGGAAGGAAATTGGGATGATTAAAGAGAATTCCAAGGCCCAAGATTTCATGGTAATGATCGTTTCCGCTACCTGTCATTACCATGATTCAGATTAATGGAACCGAAAAACCTCTTGCCACAAACATCTTTAGCCTTGTTGATGAAAATTCATTTGATAGAAGTTTTTCTTTTCTTTGTTCTGATTCTCAGCAAGTAGAGCAATTCCGAATTCATTAACACTCCAATTACCAGTACATATAAAACTAAAATGTTGTTTCACTTCACTCGTCCCCATCTTGTATCCATCCCAAAGTGCATTGCACTGTATGTGCAATTAATGCAGTCTGACAGATTTAAGATGGTGGATGAACAACTGATAAAGGGTGAACCAGCTACAATATTATCGTTTTCATACCAGCAATCAGTTTACATGGCATCCACTCTGAAGAAGAAGAAGTACGAACACCCACAAAAGTGGTAAATTTAACACCTGCAAATAAAGGTATCATTAATTCTTTTTTTTTCCCTTACCTTTAAGACTGAATGTGGGAAGATGGGCATGTTGCCAGGCAGTATAACCAACAACTGTATCCTCAGGACGTCGACATCTCTCCAGATACCCTTGGAAACAAGACATACACAACATCAGATGTCACATAATTCATTAGCATAAGACCATGGAGCATGTGTGCTATCATTATGTGAAGCAAGGTGCCAGTTCAGATCCAGTGCATAACTGGAAGAGCCCTGCTGTGGCTTATCACAGCTGACCTTGAACTGCATTATCTGAAGCATCAAGCAATGGTTTTTCTCTATTCTGTCTGAACGGAACACAAGAACATATACAATTACAGGTACCCCACCCAAACCCAATTATTAGCTTGCCCTAAAAGTCGATGTTCACCCTGGGGGGTGGGGGGTTACTTCGGGGAATTTTTGGGTGGGGATGTGCTGCTGGGACCCTGGAACCCTTAACCTATACCAGAGCTAGTTCAGCTGAATTTTGCTACACTATACTAGAGTAACCAGTATTAAAACCACCGATTTCTGGCTGAATCCTGATTTATGACAGTTAATAATATCCATTTATGATAGTCATCTATTGACGCTGTTGAGGCTGTGTCAAAAATTTAAACTTGCTGATTTCATTTTTTTTACTTTTGAGTGGCATTTCCTGGTTTCCTTAGTTTAGATAAAATCTTCAACCAACTAGTCACTTTCGTGAAAAATGATACCCTACTCTAGACCCAAACGTTCTGATTTATATACCCTATGCTAGAGTAAACTGCTTGAAAACCATACCCTTCACAGCGGCACATACCTATATAGCCCGTATATGGCAGTACCCACCCCGCCTGGGTTCTTCACATGGATTGAACAAATTTGCAAATGAAAAGGTGATGGTATAAATCCAAATGCAATATAACAGTACTGCACTTCACAAAACTCTCGACCTATGGTTTTTTTAACCAGTTTGAGCTAAGAACTTGGCCAAAAATTCATTAACATTGTCAACTGAAACACAATTAACCTTCAAAATGAAGCTGGGAATTTCCTTGCAAACCTCCTTGTAAACTAGCAAACCTCGGGGGGGGGGGGGTNGATGTGCCATTGGGACCCTGGAAGCCTTAGCCTAAACCAGAGCTAGTTCAGCTGAATTTTGCTACCCTATACATGTACTAGAGTAAACTCCCCAAATCCCCCCATCTATGGACACTGTGGAGGCTTATTTGCATAAACTTAAACTTACTGATTTGATTTTTTTATATTTTTGAGTGGCAATTCCTGGTTTCCTTAGTCTAGACAAAATCTTCAACCAACTGGTCAGTTTTGCGAAAAATGATACCCTATTCTAGACCCAAATTCTCTGATTCATATACCCTATCCTTGAGTTAACTGCTTGAAAACCATTCCCTTCACAGCAGCACATACCTATGTAGCCCATATATGACGGTACCCCCCCCCCCCTCCAGGGAGCAAACTCAGACACCATCACACAATATATAATTTTTTCAACTGACTTATAAGGAAAAGCAGTTGGAAAGAATTGCAGATAAATCACTATTAAAAGGTAAAATATCATCTTGTCCATAAGGTTCAGAAAACAAACACACCTCAGACTTCAAGGAAGGTAAAGCTTAATGATCACAACCTAACACAATTTTTGTTGGTCCTTTACTATTTCTACTTAGCCAGTTTAAAAACTTTAAAAAACTTTTCCTTGTTGGGTAAAAAGAGTCAATTAGGTAATCCTGTTTGCCATTGTGTCGAACTTCACAATGATTGAAGTTCGCAAATTTTGCAGTTAAGTCCACCACCAAGTTCATAACTTTGTTCTGAGGTTTTTGTTTTTATTGACAACTGCATAATGAACTTGCCAAGTTCATAGCAAACTTCAGGAATTTCAAATGAATTTGTGAAACATTTGGCAAAGTTTTGTGAAATGCACTGTAAGCATTTTGACACTGAGCAATATCTGAAAATACTCTTAAAATTGCACGAGCATGAGCATGATTACACAAGTGCAATTTGAAAAAGTACATGTAATTTCAAATATCACGAGAAGACAGGGTACAATTATAGCTCTTCTTTTGCAGTTATCAGTGGTTTGATATAAAATCAGAGCAAATGGGTGAATTGTGATTTGTACTGACCTTCTTGCCTTGTTTGTTGTGTTTTCATTATCCTTAGTTGTGTACCATGAACCCAACTTATAACAGCACACTACTGCTCAAGTTTTCATGCAATTAGTACACATTTGTTTTTATGACTGGCAGAATTAAGACAGTTTATGCATTAGTTTGCACTGAGTGCAAATGAAAAATTAAAGATAAATTTGCCTACTCTCAGCCAATCACAAATTATGAAGTAAATGTAAGTTTCTCCATCACATATATTAACAAAACACATCGACCAGCTACAAGCTTGCTTTCCTGCATTAGACTAAGCCACTTGGAATTGTCGAATATGTTAAAACTCAATAAACAAGCCATTTTAATTGCCTCTTGAAATGTTCAAGGAATTGTACATGGTAAATTAGTGAAATAGCAAACTGAGTTCGTTTAAGATAGCTTGATAATTTAGCATGTAGGCTATATTACAAACACACCCTGTATCATATTAAATTCACCCCTCGGTCTGTATCACAATTGGAACACAAGCAAAATCCCTGGCAGTTCACACGAAGTGAAATGAGCTTTCAAAACAGGATTTATACCACTTATGCAATTAGTGCTGAAGATGTTGTGATGACAGCTTCAACAGGGGTTTGTGCTTATCACAAGTCAGTTCACACTGGTGAAAGAAGCAAAGGACTGGAAAAGGGAAATATTTCTTGTTCCGCTTGTGCATATCTTATGCTGGTCCAGACATGAGTTTCCTTATTACCTTGTGTTCATCACACAAGTGCCAGGCGCCACTGTGCTTTACGATGTAGCAAGCCTATCCTAATCTCGTCTCATTCACTGAGTGTAATTAAATATATCTGAACCATTATTACAATTTTTTCGAACAACCACAGTCTCCAAGTCTCTTAAAATTCATCATCCAATATGTAAATGTTCAATTATTTAAGAATTTATTCAATACGCACATATGTACATGAATATTGCTAGAGCTGAGGCTTTGATTCCTGACAAAGTTTGGGAATGAGTCATTGCAATTGTGATGATGTTAAAACTTAAGAATCACTTTTCCAAGAGTCTTTAGTTCCGAGTGCCAGCATCATGTCACAAGGAATCCAGCGCCCCGTAGGGCTCTCGGACACTACGTTTGATAAGCTAGGTTTGATACGAGTTCTCTAGTGCAAAACTACAAGAAACAGTACATTAACAAAATCTACAAATCATATCAGCTATAATCTACAGATCTACATCGCTGAACATTACTAAACTGGTTCGAATCTTCTCAATTACTCGTTCTTTAACATCTTTCGCGGATTCACGCCCCCGTATGCTCCCTTACCGAACGCGCTCGAAACACAAGTCAAAATATTAACAAAGCTATTTTGTACTTACAGTTTAATGCATATTCAGCGTTCGAGCTGCCATCCAATGCCAAGAGCACCGTCCTGTTTTCAGCCATAATTCGTCAAAACGATAATCACCGCAAAGTTCTCTCTACCCTTTTGAAACCCCTCCGTTCTACAGCCCAGGGACCTTTGGCTTTGGTTGGCCAATAAATATTTATGAAACCCGTCACTGATTGGTGTTTCGCTTTAAGTAAAAACCAATCAGCTTTGTCGATATATCTAGCTCGGTTAATCCCAGCATGCCTGGCGAGTTTGCGAGCATGATCTGTTGACAGCTGAAGGTGTGTGCGTCACCAAAGTCACGCACTACGTTGATCAAAACGTCCCATTCATCTCAACAATCATTGCTTTTTGAATGTCTTCTGGAAATGTTATCGTCATTCCCGTGGATGGGAGTAAAAACAGCGATCGAGCAGTGAACTGTAAGCCTTTTTTTGAATATTATTCCAGTGTTCGATATTCTCTGCGTCAGCAATGCACTTATGTTCAAATACAGCGCGCAAATAGCTACAATAGCTTAGCTCAGCTTAGCTAAAAGCTCACACGATTTGATATATTGCTTCAGGATTAATATTGGGCGTCGTGAAACATCAGATAGAGTGATATATTTGCTTAGTTTTACTCGTTTTTCTGTGACAGATCGTTGATGCTTTGTTGTGGTTTTCTGACCAGTTTGTGTATGAAAAATCTTTACTGCACGTGCAAAGCAGACTTTGTGCTTTATTAATTTAAGAATATTGTACGTGAATGTCTTTAATATAAACACTTAAAATTCAAGAGCTCTGTAAGTAATTTGCTTTAAATCACTCACAATGTGTACTTTGTACCACTGAACGTGATGCAGGTCATTTCTATATCCTTAATTTCTATATCCTTAATCCTGTTTTTTCTTGAAGTTTAGAGCCAGAGAAGCGGCGATCAATGAATCTATAAAAAAGTAGATCATGATTTAGCTATAGTCTAATAAGGAATTGTAATATTCAAATTAAGCTCTTGTTAACTTATTATTTTGATTTTTGGTTCTCATCTGTCAAGATTTTTGGATTTGGCATTCTAGTAATTTCACTATATGTAGTTCAGGAAATTACTTGAATTTATAATGGTAGTAATCTAAAGCCAATATAAGTAAAATAATTACAGATATTTCATTAAGAGCAGAAGCCCTGGGGAATCCTAAGGGTTGTTCAACTGCTTATTGGTTTCAGAAAGAGTCGTTATATAAGAATGTAAATGTGCTGGAAAAATTTGTTTTAAAATGGAGTTTGATTTCTGTGGCAAAGAACTCCATATAAAAATCAAATAAGTCTTGTTTGTATTTGTAATAATTACAGCTCAGGCTCAGTTGGTGATTGATGTATTTCATGACACGGCAGATAAATTTGCCAGCCAGTTCAGATATTGAGGATCTGTTTGACAGACGAATGTTATCCTCTTGTCAAACCTTATGTTGCACCATATTTCATACAAGTCCACTGTATTAGCATTAATTAACACTTCATTGATATTTGATCCTACCAGTGTTGTATTTGTCTTATGGAGGGTTTTTTTTAAAGTTCAGGTTTTTCTCTGCAGGGTATATTGGGAGTTTTTCAAAATAGACTGAGGAAACTGCAGAGGTGGAAATAAAAATCTGCAATGAACAACTCATCATTATGTCATTTTCTTTAGAAGGGGAATATGGCCAAATAGCTGGCATTTATCACAGCTTAAGAGCAGATATAACCTATCTTAAATCACCTCATGACATGAATAAAATATTTATTAGGTAACATACATCAGTTTTGTGCTATTTGAATAGCAAGACCTTGATAATTATTTAAATAGAGATACCCTGCTGGGAGTCAAGAAAACAATCCAGGTTTAGATCATGCAAGGGTACTCAAAACTGTGACTAATAAAAAACCTAATAATTTGTTCTGTCATTATCTTATCAGTATGTTTCTTTTAAATAATGTGCAGTATACCTGATCAAAATAATATTACACGTAAATACATTGACTACATTTCTTCAGATCTACATGCACTCTTTGCAGGCCATAGAAATGACATCATTAGATACTGAAAACTTTGCATTTGTCAGTACCTCATGGTTTACTCTTCCTGAGTTTTGAACTTTTTATGACTCATTTAAAGTCTTGAATATGAGTAAATAAATGATCTGCCATCTAACACACACACTTAGGATTTTATTAATTTCTTGTTTACAGGGTATCTAGAACATCTTCACTTGAAAGGTGACAGAGTCGTATTTATCCATGCATTTGATCCTCCACCAATGCAGTCGGCAAAACATAGTGAGTACCATGAAATGGCTACAAATTAAATGCTTAATTTGAACAACTAAACAATGTTTATAAAATAACTGAGATACTACGTGCACTCTCATTGGTCAATAGGTGTGTTTAGATGAGAGTATGTAAACACCATTGNCTACCCTTTTGAAACCCCTCCGTTCTACAGCCCAGGGACCTTTGGCTTTGGTTGGCCAATAAATATTTATGAAACCCGTCACTGATTGGTGTTTCGCTTTAAGTAAAAACCAATCAGCTTTGTCGATATATCTAGCTCGGTTAATCCCAGCATGCCTGGCGAGTTTGCGAGCATGATCTGTTGACAGCTGAAGGTGTGTGCGTCACCAAAGTCACGCACTACGTTGATCAAAACGTCCCATTCATCTCAACAATCATTGCTTTTTGAATGTCTTCTGGAAATGTTATCGTCATTCCCGTGGATGGGAGTAAAAACAGCGACCGAGCAGTGAACTGTAAGCCTTTTTTTGAATATTATTCCAGTGTTCGATATTCTCTGCGTCAGCAATGCACTTATGTTCAAATACAGCGCGCAAATAGCTACAATAGCTTAGCTCAGCTTAGCTAAAAGCTCACACGATTTGATATATTGCTTCAGGATTAATATTGGGCGTCGTGAAACATCAGATAGAGTGATATATTTGCTTAGTTTTACTCGTTTTTCTGTGACAGATCGTTGATGCTTTGTTGTGGTTTTCTGACCAGTTTGTGTATGAAAAATCTTTACTGCACGTGCAAAGCAGACTTTGTGCTTTATTAATTTAAGAATATTGTACGTGAATGTCTTTAATATAAACACTTAAAATTCAAGAGCTCTGTAAGTAATTTGCTTTAAATCACTCACAATGTGTACTTTGTACCACTGAACGTGATGCAGGTCATTTCTATATCCTTAATTTCTATATCCTTAATCCTGTTTTTTCTTGAAGTTTAGAGCCAGAGAAGCGGCGATCAATGAATCTATAAAAAAGTAGATCATGATTTAGCTATAGTCTAATAAGGAATTGTAATATTCAAATTAAGCTCTTGTTAACTTATTATTTTGATTTTTGGTTCTCATCTGTCAAGATTTTTGGATTTGGCATTCTAGTAATTTCACTATATGTAGTTCAGGAAATTACTTGAATTTATAATGGTAGTAATCTAAAGCCAATATAAGTAAAATAATTACAGATATTTCATTAAGAGCAGAAGCCCTGGGGAATCCTAAGGGTTGTTCAACTGCTTATTGGTTTCAGAAAGAGTCGTTATATAAGAATGTAAATGTGCTGGAAAAATTTGTTTTAAAATGGAGTTTGATTTCTGTGGCAAAGAACTCCATATAAAAATCAAATAAGTCTTGTTTGTATTTGTAATAATTACAGCTCAGGCTCAGTTGGTGATTGATGTATTTCATGACACGGCAGATAAATTTGCCAGCCAGTTCAGATATTGAGGATCTGTTTGACAGACGAATGTTATCCTCTTGTCAAACCTTATGTTGCACCATATTTCATACAAGTCCACTGTATTAGCATTAATTAACACTTCATTGATATTTGATCCTACCAGTGTTGTATTTGTCTTATGGAGGGTTTTTTTTAAAGTTCAGGTTTTTCTCTGCAGGGTATATTGGGAGTTTTTCAAAATAGACTGAGGAAACTGCAGAGGTGGAAATAAAAATCTGCAATGAACAACTCATCATTATGTCATTTTCTTTAGAAGGGGAATATGGCCAAATAGCTGGCATTTATCACAGCTTAAGAGCAGATATAACCTATCTTAAATCACCTCATGACATGAATAAAATATTTATTAGGTAACATACATCAGTTTTGTGCTATTTGAATAGCAAGACCTTGATAATTATTTAAATAGAGATACCCTGCTGGGAGTCAAGAAAACAATCCAGGTTTAGATCATGCAAGGGTACTCAAAACTGTGACTAATAAAAAACCTAATAATTTGTTCTGTCATTATCTTATCAGTATGTTTCTTTTAAATAATGTGCAGTATACCTGATCAAAATAATATTACACGTAAATACATTGACTACATTTCTTCAGATCTACATGCACTCTTTGCAGGCCATAGAAATGACATCATTAGATACTGAAAACTTTGCATTTGTCAGTACCTCATGGTTTACTCTTCCTGAGTTTTGAACTTTTTATGACTCATTTAAAGTCTTGAATATGAGTAAATAAATGATCTGCCATCTAACACACACACTTAGGATTTTATTAATTTCTTGTTTACAGGGTATCTAGAACATCTTCACTTGAAAGGTGACAGAGTCGTATTTATCCATGCATTTGATCCTCCACCAATGCAGTCGGCAAAACATAGTGAGTACCATGAAATGGCTACAAATTAAATGCTTAATTTGAACAACTAAACAATGTTTATAAAATAACTGAGATACTACGTGCACTCTCATTGGTCAATAGGTGTGTTTAGATGAGAGTATGTAAACACCATTGTGACGTGTTAGATTCGCGCATATTTTTGAGACATTTTATAAAAGCAATAGAGTACTTTTTCCATGTTTATGTAGCCTCGTCTTAACACTTAGGGGGGCTCGGAGAATTCTCGAAAATTATGCAAACCTGAAATGCAGTCAGGGGTTTGCATAGCTGTCTCAAATTCTCTGAACCCACCCCGTGTTTAGATGAGGCTATGTAAACATGGAAAAAGTGCTCTATTGGTTACTGTGGAGTGATCTTCAGTGTTACATGACATACACTAATAAATTATGTAGAAACTCTATATGGCTAGTGTATTGTTTTGACAGACAGTATACTAAATAAAGTCTTTTTTTCTTTTACTGGACAGCAAGTGTTGATTTCAAGAACAGCTATGATGAGTGGTGCATTGTAATTCAGAAAGCACAAGATAAGGCCAGGTGCCTTTTGTCAGAGTACGACCAGAAGTTTATCCCCCTTAAGGTAAATTAACTACTTTTTAGTGTCATGTTAGAAAGGTTTGAATTGTCCCACACCTGGAGACATACAGCTAATCAGGAGGTCAGAAAGCCCTTGCTAATATTAGGTAGTATCCCAAGGGTCATATTCATGAACTTTTCCCAGTATTTATGGCAGCCTCTAGAGCTTCCACTGAACTAGAGTAACAGCAGCTCATGCCATCCATGTACTTATCATTCAATCAGTTCAGCTTAGATTTTGTAAGGAAATATTCAAACGTATTAATAACTGTAAGTTGCTGATTACAGCTGAAATCGAGCCTAAAAAAACATAAATAGGGAGGGTTTTTATTACTTTTTCTTCAAGTGTGTCCTAAAAGATACTTTGACAGCTAAAAATAGTGGTGTTTTGTCATGAACACCCAAAGTGAGACCAGAATCCTTGATTTATACCCCTAAGCAAGGTGACAAGCATCCCTGACCTTTTCATAATTATGTGAGTTCCCCCACGTCACCCCCAGGATATAAATTGGTAATGTCCCACTTGTGACTTGAATTTTTTTTGTATGTACACCCACCTAAGGGCTTGCATGTATAAAGTGAAAAAATAATTGAGTCACTTGTGTGATATTTAACAATGACTGCCATGCACTACAAAACATCTGGTATAAATGTATGTATCTGTAAATATTATGCCTATACTGGTATTTACTGTGTACAAATTATGTATCAGATTCTGGTACATGTAGCCTCTGGTGTTTGGTTAAAGGATTGTCACTTGGCTCTCTCATTAATATAACTGATAATTATAACATATTGTTAGTTGTCTTGGAAGACACTAAACATCAGCAGATCACAATCATTTCCTTAGAATTTGACAAAGTTGATGGAAATTGTTTGAAATAATATTCATTAGTTAGTCTTCATTTAGCATTCCCAGGTTCTCCCCAATTTCAGTTTTATAAAATTTAAAAATTAGCAATATCTAATGATATCTCCAGGCTAACTGTGTTTCAATTCTTTGACAGGGACAACTGTCATACAAGATGATCCATGATACAGGCAGTCCAGGAGATGTCATAGTGAGCTACAGCAAGAAAGAAAATGCGACAACCATAATCATGGGCTGCAGAGGACTGGGAAAACTGCGGAGAACATTGCTTGGCAGTGTTAGTGATTATGTTGTTCGGCACTCATCAATACCTGTTGTTGTTATACCACCTGCTTCGTAAAATTCTTTGTGGTAGTTTTTTTTTCAATGTATCTACACTGCACATATGTGCTGCCTTTCTGCAGATCATTCATTCAAAGGTTTTATTTAGGTCAATCTCAGGCTTTGTCATTCTTTATCAAACAATCATTTTTGGTTCAGTTTGCTAAATTATCTTTGGATTTTTCTCACTTAGCATGCTATTACTAATTTTTTAAAATTTCCATTTATGTTATTGTACATTAAATGCAATTAACAAGGCTGAGTCATTTCTTCCACTTACATCAGACGAATTTATTTATTGACACTAAGTCGCTAAACCACTGAGAAACTTCGTACATGTACATGTATGTAGAGATTGGGTGGAGAGTGGGCCCGGCATTTTACACGAAATGTGATTTTACCACGATATTAAAAGATCTAATTGATCACTACGAAGGGTCTTTAGAAATACTAACAGTAGCCATAGATTGTAAATGGGTATTTATCATAAGATTTAATAATTATATTAATTGTTGTTGGGTTTACTGTGTATCACCCATTATATTTTTGCCAACCAACTAAGAAGGGATTTGTCATCTAAGTTTTCTTTAGGCAGATGACATGAATTTACTGTGATAGAGCTTGAAAATACTGACTTTCGTAATTACTGTCAGACAAGAAAATTTGCAAAAAAAAAAATGGATTTTGGCCCAATGGGGAAAAGTAATTTGAGTTAACACTAAATTTTGTTATTTACTCTGCTTGGCCAGAATTGCAGCCAAGATAATTAAGTCATAAATTCTTGCTGTTTAATGTAGAAGCTAAGGAAGCAAGTAATAAAATTACCTTATTTAACTAATGGAATGAAACTTTAACATGGAATGAATGCAGTTGCGTATGATAATTAATTGCAATTGGACTGATGTTTATTTTACACCCACAAAGTATTTTTTCATGGCAATAATACATACGTGTATTAATTCAAGACTCTTGAGTAACCAAAGAAAGTTGGTATGATGAAATTATAATAATATCATAAGACGTTGTTTGTTAGTCTCTGTTTGGTATTGTTTGCAGTTCTTTGTTCGCATATTCAATCTCTTTGTGAGGGTTGTCATTTTGTAGCCTGCCTTGCAGATAGTCTAAACCACCAGTATAGTGTGGGGATTTTGTGATACATCCGTCTGCAACTCAGGCTATCATTTTGATGACTCTCTAGCTTTGTGTGTTATAATACTCTTTCACATACAGTCATTTCACTTAATGTAACAGAATATGGATATACGGTATAAGATTACTTAAAACAAGTATAATCATCTTCCATGATGCTTAATAAGCCATTTTCTAAAAAATAATGGAAATGAAGAAATATTGTTCATTGCTGGTTGCATAATGAGCTGGAAAACACAAAAGGGTGAATAAAATCCACAATTTGGCATGTTGAGAGAATGGATTTCTTCTAGGTAATATGAAGAATGTGCATCAATATTTACTCGACTGTACATGTACACATGCAGTCCCAGCAGGCCTTATTGATTTCCACACTCCGATGACCAGAATGGGATATGACCATGCAATCTCATAATAGTCAGTAAACAAATCCCCCCTCCTCAGTAATACGATCATCTGTGGTCCATTAAGGAGGCTGGCAATAGTTTCCAGCACTTTTCCAACAGCTCTACTTTAACGGATGAATACTACCTGTACCTCAGTCTGTTTATCAAGTGATGCTATAATATTGTTATCACATAATTGCCCAGCCATTGGTACTCTTTATGGCATAATAGGTTACCATAGCAACAGTATGACCTGCTAACAATAACCTTAATTTTAGGTTTTTTTTTTTTTAAACAGGCATTTTTTTTTTTGTTAGGCTNCTACCCTTTTGAAACCCCTCCGTTCTACAGCCCAGGGACCTTTGGCTTTGGTTGGCCAATAAATATTTATGAAACCCGTCACTGATTGGTGTTTCGCTTTAAGTAAAAACCAATCAGCTTTGTCGATATATCTAGCTCGGTTAATCCCAGCATGCCTGGCGAGTTTGCGAGCATGATCTGTTGACAGCTGAAGGTGTGTGCGTCACCAAAGTCACGCACTACGTTGATCAAAACGTCCCATTCATCTCAACAATCATTGCTTTTTGAATGTCTTCTGGAAATGTTATCGTCATTCCCGTGGATGGGAGTAAAAACAGCGACCGAGCAGTGAACTGTAAGCCTTTTTTTGAATATTATTCCAGTGTTCGATATTCTCTGCGTCAGCAATGCACTTATGTTCAAATACAGCGCGCAAATAGCTACAATAGCTTAGCTCAGCTTAGCTAAAAGCTCACACGATTTGATATATTGCTTCAGGATTAATATTGGGCGTCGTGAAACATCAGATAGAGTGATATATTTGCTTAGTTTTACTCGTTTTTCTGTGACAGATCGTTGATGCTTTGTTGTGGTTTTCTGACCAGTTTGTGTATGAAAAATCTTTACTGCACGTGCAAAGCAGACTTTGTGCTTTATTAATTTAAGAATATTGTACGTGAATGTCTTTAATATAAACACTTAAAATTCAAGAGCTCTGTAAGTAATTTGCTTTAAATCACTCACAATGTGTACTTTGTACCACTGAACGTGATGCAGGTCATTTCTATATCCTTAATTTCTATATCCTTAATCCTGTTTTTTCTTGAAGTTTAGAGCCAGAGAAGCGGCGATCAATGAATCTATAAAAAAGTAGATCATGATTTAGCTATAGTCTAATAAGGAATTGTAATATTCAAATTAAGCTCTTGTTAACTTATTATTTTGATTTTTGGTTCTCATCTGTCAAGATTTTTGGATTTGGCATTCTAGTAATTTCACTATATGTAGTTCAGGAAATTACTTGAATTTATAATGGTAGTAATCTAAAGCCAATATAAGTAAAATAATTACAGATATTTCATTAAGAGCAGAAGCCCTGGGGAATCCTAAGGGTTGTTCAACTGCTTATTGGTTTCAGAAAGAGTCGTTATATAAGAATGTAAATGTGCTGGAAAAATTTGTTTTAAAATGGAGTTTGATTTCTGTGGCAAAGAACTCCATATAAAAATCAAATAAGTCTTGTTTGTATTTGTAATAATTACAGCTCAGGCTCAGTTGGTGATTGATGTATTTCATGACACGGCAGATAAATTTGCCAGCCAGTTCAGATATTGAGGATCTGTTTGACAGACGAATGTTATCCTCTTGTCAAACCTTATGTTGCACCATATTTCATACAAGTCCACTGTATTAGCATTAATTAACACTTCATTGATATTTGATCCTACCAGTGTTGTATTTGTCTTATGGAGGGTTTTTTTTAAAGTTCAGGTTTTTCTCTGCAGGGTATATTGGGAGTTTTTCAAAATAGACTGAGGAAACTGCAGAGGTGGAAATAAAAATCTGCAATGAACAACTCATCATTATGTCATTTTCTTTAGAAGGGGAATATGGCCAAATAGCTGGCATTTATCACAGCTTAAGAGCAGATATAACCTATCTTAAATCACCTCATGACATGAATAAAATATTTATTAGGTAACATACATCAGTTTTGTGCTATTTGAATAGCAAGACCTTGATAATTATTTAAATAGAGATACCCTGCTGGGAGTCAAGAAAACAATCCAGGTTTAGATCATGCAAGGGTACTCAAAACTGTGACTAATAAAAAACCTAATAATTTGTTCTGTCATTATCTTATCAGTATGTTTCTTTTAAATAATGTGCAGTATACCTGATCAAAATAATATTACACGTAAATACATTGACTACATTTCTTCAGATCTACATGCACTCTTTGCAGGCCATAGAAATGACATCATTAGATACTGAAAACTTTGCATTTGTCAGTACCTCATGGTTTACTCTTCCTGAGTTTTGAACTTTTTATGACTCATTTAAAGTCTTGAATATGAGTAAATAAATGATCTGCCATCTAACACACACACTTAGGATTTTATTAATTTCTTGTTTACAGGGTATCTAGAACATCTTCACTTGAAAGGTGACAGAGTCGTATTTATCCATGCATTTGATCCTCCACCAATGCAGTCGGCAAAACATAGTGAGTACCATGAAATGGCTACAAATTAAATGCTTAATTTGAACAACTAAACAATGTTTATAAAATAACTGAGATACTATGTGCACTCTCATTGGTCAATAGGTGTGTTTAGATGAGAGTATGTAAACACCATTGTGACGTGTTAGATTCGCGCATATTTTTGAGACATTTTATAAAAGCAATAGAGTACTTTTTCCATGTTTATGTAGCCTCGTCTTAACACTTAGGGGGGCTCGGAGAATTCTCGAAAATTATGCAAACCTGAAATGCAGTCAGGGGTTTGCATAGCTGTCTCAAATTCTCTGAACCCACCCCGTGTTTAGATGAGGCTATGTAAACATGGAAAAAGTGCTCTATTGGTTACTGTGGAGTGATCTTCAGTGTTACATGACATACACTAATAAATTATGTAGAAACTCTATATGGCTAGTGTATTGTTTTGACAGACAGTATACTAAATAAAGTCTTTTTTTCTTTTACTGGACAGCAAGTGTTGATTTCAAGAACAGCTATGATGAGTGGTGCATTGTAATTCAGAAAGCACAAGATAAGGCCAGGTGCCTTTTGTCAGAGTACGACCAGAAGTTTATCCCCCTTAAGGTAAATTAACTACTTTTTAGTGTCATGTTAGAAAGGTTTGAATTGTCCCACACCTGGAGACATACAGCTAATCAGGAGGTCAGAAAGCCCTTGCTAATATTAGGTAGTATCCCAAGGGTCATATTCATGAACTTTTCCCAGTATTTATGGCAGCCTCTAGAGCTTCCACTGAACTAGAGTAACAGCAGCTCATGCCATCCATGTACTTATCATTCAATCAGTTCAGCTTAGATTTTGTAAGGAAATATTCAAACGTATTAATAACTGTAAGTTGCTGATTACAGCTGAAATCGAGCCTAAAAAAACATAAATAGGGAGGGTTTTTATTACTTTTTCTTCAAGTGTGTCCTAAAAGATACTTTGACAGCTAAAAATAGTGGTGTTTTGTCATGAACACCCAAAGTGAGACCAGAATCCTTGATTTATACCCCTAAGCAAGGTGACAAGCATCCCTGACCTTTTCATAATTATGTGAGTTCCCCCACGTCACCCCCAGGATATAAATTGGTAATGTCCCACTTGTGACTTGAATTTTTTTTGTATGTACACCCACCTAAGGGCTTGCATGTATAAAGTGAAAAAATAATTGAGTCACTTGTGTGATATTTAACAATGACTGCCATGCACTACAAAACATCTGGTATAAATGTATGTATCTGTAAATATTATGCCTATACTGGTATTTACTGTGTACAAATTATGTATCAGATTCTGGTACATGTAGCCTCTGGTGTTTGGTTAAAGGATTGTCACTTGGCTCTCTCATTAATATAACTGATAATTATAACATATTGTTAGTTGTCTTGGAAGACACTAAACATCAGCAGATCACAATCATTTCCTTAGAATTTGACAAAGTTGATGGAAATTGTTTGAAATAATATTCATTAGTTAGTCTTCATTTAGCATTCCCAGGTTCTCCCCAATTTCAGTTTTATAAAATTTAAAAATTAGCAATATCTAATGATATCTCCAGGCTAACTGTGTTTCAATTCTTTGACAGGGACAACTGTCATACAAGATGATCCATGATACAGGCAGTCCAGGAGATGTCATAGTGAGCTACAGCAAGAAAGAAAATGCGACAACCATAATCATGGGCTGCAGAGGACTGGGAAAACTGCGGAGAACATTGCTTGGCAGTGTTAGTGATTATGTTGTTCGGCACTCATCAATACCTGTTGTTGTTATACCACCTGCTTCGTAAAATTCTTTGTGGTAGTTTTTTTTTCAATGTATCTACACTGCACATATGTGCTGCCTTTCTGCAGATCATTCATTCAAAGGTTTTATTTAGGTCAATCTCAGGCTTTGTCATTCTTTATCAAACAATCATTTTTGGTTCAGTTTGCTAAATTATCTTTGGATTTTTCTCACTTAGCATGCTATTACTAATTTTTTAAAATTTCCATTTATGTTATTGTACATTAAATGCAATTAACAAGGCTGAGTCATTTCTTCCACTTACATCAGACGAATTTATTTATTGACACTAAGTCGCTAAACCACTGAGAAACTTCGTACATGTACATGTATGTAGAGATTGGGTGGAGAGTGGGCCCGGCATTTTACACGAAATGTGATTTTACCACGATATTAAAAGATCTAATTGATCACTACGAAGGGTCTTTAGAAATACTAACAGTAGCCATAGATTGTAAATGGGTATTTATCATAAGATTTAATAATTATATTAATTGTTGTTGGGTTTACTGTGTATCACCCATTATATTTTTGCCAACCAACTAAGAAGGGATTTGTCATCTAAGTTTTCTTTAGGCAGATGACATGAATTTACTGTGATAGAGCTTGAAAATACTGACTTTCGTAATTACTGTCAGACAAGAAAATTTGCAAAAAAAAAAATGGATTTTGGCCCAATGGGGAAAAGTAATTTGAGTTAACACTAAATTTTGTTATTTACTCTGCTTGGCCAGAATTGCAGCCAAGATAATTAAGTCATAAATTCTTGCTGTTTAATGTAGAAGCTAAGGAAGCAAGTAATAAAATTACCTTATTTAACTAATGGCATGAAACTTTAACATGGAATGAATGCAGTTGCGTATGATAATTAATTGCAATTGGACTGATGTTTATTTTACACCCACAAAGTATTTTTTCATGGCAATAATACATACGTGTATTAATTCAAGACTCTTGAGTAACCAAAGAAAGTTGGTATGATGAAATTATAATAATATCATAAGACGTTGTTTGTTAGTCTCTGTTTGGTATTGTTTGCAGTTCTTTGTTCGCATATTCAATCTCTTTGTGAGGGTTGTCATTTTGTAGCCTGCCTTGCAGATAGTCTAAACCACCAGTATAGTGTGGGGATTTTGTGATACATCCGTCTGCAACTCAGGCTATCATTTTGATGACTCTCTAGCTTTGTGTGTTATAATACTCTTTCACATACAGTCATTTCACTTAATGTAACAGAATATGGATATACGGTATAAGATTACTTAAAACAAGTATAATCATCTTCCATGATGCTTAATAAGCCATTTTCTAAAAAATAATGGAAATGAAGAAATATTGTTCATTGCTGGTTGCATAATGAGCTGGAAAACACAAAAGGGTGAATAAAATCCACAATTTGGCATGTTGAGAGAATGGATTTCTTCTAGGTAATATGAAGAATGTGCATCAATATTTACTCGACTGTACATGTACACATGCAGTCCCAGCAGGCCTTATTGATTTCCACACTCCGATGACCAGAATGGGATATGACCATGCAATCTCATAATAGTCAGTAAACAAATCCCCCCTCCTCAGTAATACGATCATCTGTGGTCCATTAAGGAGGCTGGCAATAGTTTCCAGCACTTTTCCAACAGCTCTACTTTAACGGATGAATACTACCTGTACCTCAGTCTGTTTATCAAGTGATGCTATAATATTGTTATCACATAATTGCCCAGCCATTGGTACTCTTTATGGCATAATAGGTTACCATAGCAACAGTATGACCTGCTAACAATAACCTTAATTTTAGGTTTTTTTTTTTTTAAACAGGCATTTTTTTTTTTGTTAGGCTTAAGTTTTCAAGATTCGCAAACCCTGATGTAGGTCCTTTAAGCAAATAATTCTCTGGTTGTATTAGTAAGTCCTGGAGATATCTAAGCCCAGCCCCCATCCTAACTAACAAACTCACAGAACATTACACTGTAAAGAACCTGGCGAGTAGAGTGCAGATCAAATCATTCGATTTGAGTTGCCTTCAATTGCAGGGAGTCTAGTGGCATGGACTTGGTTGATCAGAAGAACAGGAATATAGGAAACTGAGGATTTAAATGAGCTCAGTCACGGTTTGTGCATATTGACAAGTTTAGCCTCAATTTTTCAAATTTGTCGTTTGTAATCCATGTTAATCTCCATCCTTAGCCATCCTTGTTCCTTTATGGTTTATCATTATCTCTTTGGTGTTTTTCTGTCTTATTAAACTCTTATTTTCAGGTTTCCTACCATTTAAAGATAATTAAGTATGTGGCCAAATTAACTCAAAATACCGTGACTGAGCTTCTTTAAAATGTAGCAAAATTGGAAACTTTGTTTTAAAATAGGAGAATCAATCTAACCCTACCCTCCATCAGCTATCCCAACCACCCCTTTAGATCATCATCAAAAATCAAAATAAATACCACAAAGCGATATTAAGCTGAGTTGCTCTAGCCCTTTTCCACATTCTGGCTGACTTTTAGAATTGCCTGACAAAAGTTACCCCTGACCAACTACATCGTCCAGTGCTTAATTCCAAACAAAGCAATTGATCTACCAATCTTCACCCTCAACATAAACACATCTGTGCATTTTGTCTGTTCAGGGCATCAAGATTTTGTTGACATACTAGTACTATGATTTTTACATTCGTTTGATTTTTAGTTAGCCCAATTAAGAGGGAGGTAAAATTTAAGGTTTTATCATTTTACAGTGTCTTTACTAAGTAAGAAAGTGCCATTCAACTTGACACTTCCATAAGTTATTACTACTGCAGTATTATGTGAGCTTAAATTGAGTCAGAGGGTGCAGAGCAAGTACAGCTGAACTGTACCACACTAAGTACATAAGGATTTAATGATGCTTAAACAAAACAGGATTTAAACAATGGCTTCCATCTACTTTTTCTGCAAAGTACATTATGGTATTATAAGTGATACTGGGTTGTGAAATTATATTCCCTGTCTACCCCAAACAACACAACTGAAGCTTTTCATCCCATAACATTTCATGATTTATTTAGGAAATATTAAAATCACTCCATTTTTCAAATGAGTCTCCCTAAAATAACATGTACTAGTAGTGTACAAATTATTCAGTTTTTTAAACCATTTGATGATTACTGCAACTACAAAAAAAACACACATTTTGTACGTACAACATTCCAAGCCAGTGACAACATCTGTGAAGTATACATGTATTTAACTTACTGCCCATAGACACAGGTAGTGTACAAGTCATATGTACTCTAACATATACGATGCAGTTCTTTGTCAATTTTTGTTGGTAAATCCATGATGTTGAAAGCGATCTGGAGGTGGAACAACTGACACAGGAACATTTACATGGTGCAGACAGTAATCGCTTACACTGCCGACAAGTGTACGGCTTACTGTACCCAATCCCCTTGAACCCATTACAACATGATCAACATTTCTTTCCTTTGCTACTTTACAAACAGCCTCTCCTGGGTTTCCATTCTCCTTGATGAGTCTACATTTCAACTGAAAAAAGAAAATGAGCAAAACACCTGTTACGGCTGAGTATGTTTGATTTTCCCTTGATGCTACGGGTGAAATTGCCTCTTGTTCATAGGATTCACCCACAAAGTAACAAGTTTGCAATGGGTGTGGAGAACTGGGCTACAGGTGACTCAAAACTTAATGACAGCCCTAGAACATACAGGTATAATTTGCATACTACCAGTTGCACGTGTATATACACATAGATGGGGTGAAGAAAAGTCAACAAAGGTACACAAACAAGTTGTCAAAGAAACTGTGAGGCAGAAAGAAAAATAACTTCGCCTCTGACTGTCATTAACAACAGTCTCTTTGGTTATTGAACCCATTTTACTTGCCGTGGATAATTATCTAGCCCTGGCTCCCCACAGATGGCATATATGTGTACATCAAGTGTACCCTGGAGGCACTGATTGACTGATCCATGAGACAATAACAATAAAAAAACCTGCATGAACTGTGAAACCATTTATAAGAACTGTACTCATACAAGCTATCGTTAGTTACATAACAAATTTTTAGTCAGGAGTAGACGAGACCAAGTAATATGATGACCTTGACTTCACTTCACTAGAGAAGCTGGGAAATAATTTTTTTAAATAATAACATTATTTCATATTTTCCTTTGAAACCTTAAGTAGGTTCATCAATTAACTCAGCTCCAATTCTCACACACAAAATGCAAGATCAAAAAAATTGTTGTCTCACTATTAGATAAATTAAAGCCAGCTAAAAGTTTGAATCCCACAACTGTCACTTACATTGTTTTCTTGGCATTTCTTGTAATAGGATTCTAAAATTACTCTGGCCTTTTTGTCACTTTCCTCTAAATGATGCTTCCATCCATCAGAAAAATCAAAACCATCTAAAAAAAGAAAAGAAAGAAGAACGTGGATTACCATGGCCCTTAACTGCATAAATTCTTACCCAGTGCATGTTACACCCCTGAAATGAGCATGTCTCACAGCAAGCATTACACAAGTAGAATCAAGTTCTAATTCTTTCAACAAAAATGTTGCAAGATATGTGCATTTCAGGGTGTGTTACACTACACAACGTCTTGTCCAATACAGGCTATTGCATTTGAAAAGATTCGTCCATGGTACACTCCATTGCAAGCTACATTTATTTTCAGACCAATCTTTGTGTCCAATCCCAGGAAAATGAATAAGAATAAAACTCTTTTCACTAAAGTGTCAATTGTAAAAATTTGCTTTACTAGGTTCTTCCCTTTACATTCCTTGTGATTGGTTTAAAATCTCATGCCACTTTCTCGTCCAGTCAAAGAACCCCTCACCTTGACTCACTCATACACTTTTTCTGGTGCCTTATGCGTTTACTTTTAGTTTAAGTTTTGATTACTTCACTGGATTGTCTGTACTCTAATGTGATTGGCCAAAGTAAGAGCCTAGTAATAGTTTTGGTTTTTCAACACCTAATTGAAAACTGCTATTAACAGCACCATCTGGGAACCTAAGTAAATGAGGAAAATTAACAAATTGTCATCTTACAAGGATAAGGAGTGGCTGGCAGTGTTGTAGGCAACTCATGGGCATGAAATACCAATATCTCATCACCCTTCTGGTAAAAGTTCTTGGAATACCCTGCATGTTAAAACAATTCACATAAATTACACAGTAATAAAGATACTAATTATTAATGACGAATGTACATATTGAGGCTGCAATTCGTTCCAGTTCATTTCCAGCTTACTTAGAAATGTTCAACAAAAGGTATCAGAGTATAATGGCCAGTTGTGGAAATTTAAAAGGTAACACCCAAAGCCCTACAGTCAAAATCTGCTGGCAGCTAAAAAAGTGTTTTTGTCACCTACAGTAACACTGGAGTTCACTACCACTGACCAATAACAAAATAAATACTATTTTTTATAAAGGGTTGCCTGTTACAAGTGATCAAAAATAAGCATCATTTTAACAACTGACTTGCTTTTCATATTGGAACCTCACATTTTTCAGTATACCATAAACTGCCACCCGCTTATAAGCCTTGGGCTTATAAAACTTCGTAAGGGCTTTCAGATGGGCTTAAAAATGGAGGGGAGATTATATCCGAGAAGACTTATAACAGGAAATATAAAAAAATGTTTTGAAATGAGCTGTAGCTGCACATGTTGATCGAAATGGGTTTTTCATTTACTGGTAATTGAGCCTTAAAACATCATTTAATAAAACAAATTCAAAAGAAGGAAAGCTAGAGGGAGGCTTACAACTGTATGTATTTTTTGGTTTACAGGTAGATTGGCTCAATTAACTGGTGGGGGGGGGCTAATTATACGGCAGTTTATGGTATATGTGATCAAGCTTTTCTGGTCAACATATAAATTTGTAGATTTCCAGTTGCCCAGAGTGACTGAGTTTGAGCCCAGGGTTTGAACCGAGATGTGATAGTTACATCGAGTAGTTTTGTTTCTTCTTACATGTAGCACATCATTGAAAGCATTTAAAGCATTCAAAGTCTTTTGCAGTTATGGAGAAAAAAATGCTTGTTAAGGCCTGGGTTGGGACGATTCAACTGCAATCCCTGTCAAAAGTGTTGAGACACATGCGCTACAGCAGTTTAACAGTAACCATGCTAATGAAAACAGGTTTTACTTCCTCTTCCTCCCCTTCCTCCTGTACAATCAAGGTTGTTTTGCAGTTGTTGCTTATCTAAAAACCTGCCCTAACCCAGAGAGGGAAACCTAATACAGAAGGGGGAGGGGTGGGTTGGGATTTTTTTCCTGATGTCATGAGCCATGGGGTCCTTTCCATTCAACCAAAAATTCCAATGTGAATTTCCAGAAATTTCCATAGGCGAATGGTACAGACTTTCCAGTGTGGAAAACGACAAGCCGCACAGTTTTATTCAACCAGAATTTTTCAATGACTTTGAGGTTAAATCACAAATATAGAAGCAAACAGAACACTGATATATCGACATCTTGACCACAACAGCAGGGACCTTATACAAACCACAACGGCAGCGAAAAAGTAGCAAAACAAAGGGTTTGATGAGTCATACAATGGTTCTGCACACGTTATAAATCTTTGTACATTTCTTAGCCAAGCTACGCAAAACAAACAAGTACACCACAAGAGCATTACTTTTATAAAACGCTTTCTTCATGAATTTAGCTGCAGCTAGTATTTATCGACATATAAGTGGAAAGATTCTGAAGTGTTTCCATTTTTGAATACGCGTCGCCGTCATCCTTGCGTGAGATGTCCAACTCGCTGTGATTGCAGCCAAAAGAAATACAGTATGGGGCCCAGTTCTCGGCCACAAAAAACGTAAACTTGTATTTCTTACCTTGGAATAGCCGTCAGGACTTAAAATTTTACGCATAACTAGCTTCAGTATTCAGTTTACACATGTAGAGCTATCGACTGCTCAAAGCTGTTTTCTCCCGAGTAATAACGAAAATAGAGGCTTCGTTCGTGGGCCCAGTT